TTAAACTCATAAACTCTGTACTTCACTCGGTACTTCAAAAAACTCAGAACTCGGAACTCAATACTTAAACTCATAAAACATTTTCAGATCTTTCATAAAACTCGTCAACAATCTCCAGAAAAATACCAAACTTCATCAGTCGATGGTGGTTCCAGATATTGCTTTGAAAACAGTCTCTCCCACTTCTCCGTGTTGATTTCTTCAGGCTGCATTTGTGTCGAGCCATAGCAGTGAATTCTTCTGTGACGTGTCTTTCAATCACACGTTTCAGCTTCGGTGTCCAAATTCAGAAATCCAATTGTTCCAAATCATGTCCATCCAAAAGAGGACGATGGTGTTGTCCATGTCTCAGCAGCTCACAGCCTGAGTGGAATCAGGGGCTGTGCAGATTGTCCATGTGTGCTGGTCCAGATGCATGGTTTCTCTTGAGGTTTTTCAGTTTTGGCTTGAAAAAAAAAACACTTTTTTGTGTAAAAAAAAAGTAGTCTTCTGTTCTGTAGATGTTACAGACAATGCATCCTCCACCACCTGAAGAAGATGACAAAGTCTGGGATTGCGTCTTTAATTCCGACAGAAGACATGTTTTATTGTCGATGGTAGAGACAGCACGAACAACACAAACAACAAAATGCAAGTGTATTATACAAAGCGGAGGCATGGAGACCTCCAATCAGCAGCTGCCACAGTGCCATGTAGCTTGGCCTTCAGATAGACAAAACAAGGGAAAAGTACTGGCTTCTGCACATTGATAGAATGATGAGTTTAACTTTAACAAAAGTTGCTTCAAAGTGTTATGAAATCTCACAGTTCCCTCAGTGAAAACAGACCTTGATATTGTACTGACCGTTCGTACATCGTGCATTACTCAACAGCTGTAGAAATGTCTTGTATAAGAGTTTGGAGAAGAACTAAGGACATTTGCTTCAGTTTCAATACGTTTTTCCAGTTCACTTCAATAGTGGTCGTCTCGTAAGACTTTACAAAGTTGTCGATTCACCATTGCAAAGCGCTTTCTGATCCTGGTCTGTGAAACGCAAAATACAAATATATTTTACTTACTAACTTAAGGCTTAGAAGGTTCTTATAATGAGACAAACGGGTAAAGAGGCTAGTTCTGGTTACTTGCCGAATGCGCCCAGTTTGACAGATTGGGAAGATCTGACTGATCGTGCCCAATATCAAAGGTGGAGTAGCCGCTTGGTTCCGACTCTTTTCTCTGCTCTAATCCAAAGTCAAATGTGAATGCTTCATTAGCATTTTTCAAAAAGTCAGCATTCCTCCTGTGGATTTTCACCTGATCCGTTTGCTTCGGACCATGAATCCTCTCTGCTCCGGTCTGGACCAGTGTAAAACCATGAACACTCTACTGCACCATCATCTCAGGTAGAAAAAAGCAATAAAATAAAAATGCAAAAGCACAAAACAAAAGCTGTTTCAGAGCTATTTAGGACTTGCAGCCGTTTTCCAGCGCATGCACCAGTAATATTGGCATGTCTTTCGGATGTAGGTATATATACTAAAAAACGCTATGAAAAAAAGGGTCAAAAATGGCTCAAAATTGGCTAAATGTATCCTAATTTGAGCACATTGTGACTGAGCCTAATGGGACAAAGCAAAATTATCTTGTTTTAGAAAGATACACAAATTGTCTCCCTTGATATGAGAAAATAAGGCAACCGTTCTTGAAATAAAACTTGATTAATTTGGCAAATCTTGTTTTAACACAGTCAGAATGTGCTCAAATTAAGATAAAAAAAACACTCCATTAGAGCTATTATGACCTCAATTTTATAATTTGCCGCTGTATATTTTGGTCTCTGCCTATATATACAAGCCTGTTGTTGATTTTTGATTAGTGTTACCTCAGATATAATGTGTATTGCAGGCACACAAGGACAATCTGGAGCTTCTGAATGCTTGATAAACTATTGCAGCTCCATTATGCACTTCTATATTTAAATGCGAGAGGGCAGAAGCAGTAAATTAATAGCCAAACACACATCGTATTACAATAACAGTTGATCAAAGTCAGCGTGAGCTAAACAGGCTACAATACATTACGTCTGCCGTGTCCTTGTTTATCAAATGTAATGTCACGCGCACAGGCCGTGACATGTAATAAATCTCCCATCACGTCGATAAACACGGCTCATATATTTCCAATGAGCTGCTAGCGTCGATGACAGTAGAGGGGAGGACGAAATTAAACATACACAATGCTAGTGGCGTCGCCATGATTTGCTTTCTGGCAATAATAACAAACACTCAAGTTATAAGGCCATGACTGGGGTTACATTGTGGGAGTGTGTGCTTGTGTTAATGTGTGTTTATGTGTGTGTGTGTTTGTGGGTGTGTTTATCTGTGTGTCTCTGTGTGTGTAAATGGTTTAAAACAGTGGGACATGGTAAAACAACAGAGCAGCTAGCATGAACTTGGTTGTATATTGAGTGGGAGCATGTGATCAGAGAGAGACAAGACAGAGACCAGAGAGAGAACAGACACCAGAGATAAATACCAGAGAAAGACCAGAGAGACAGACGAGAGAGAGACACCAGAGAGAAAGACCAGAGAGAAAGCCCGGAAAGAAGGACCTGTGCTCATAATCACTTCACAGCTGCATTTAACCAGAGACTCGCACTTCTCTGCAGCTCATGCTGCTGTTCGAGCAGCAACCTACCTCCTCCCCATCACCTCTTCGTTCAGTGGAGTATCTTGTCATGTCTACGGCTCAGCTTCCTCAATACCAGGTTCTAGACCTCGGGGGTCGCACGCTCATAAATGTCATTAACCTTCCTTCTGCATAAGTCATGCAGTATTCCTGCCGGGGTCTAATCGCCAATCCTAATACATTTATCAGCATTCAATCTAACTCTGCTGGTGTTTATTCATGCATCTTGACAAAACATATTCTAATGCATCTTTGTCTTGAGTTTTTCCAGATTGTACTGTTTTAGAGCTACTAAGGACGCCCTCAAAAGTAAACAAGTGATGGATAGCTGTCCTCCACTGCAGACACAAAGCTGTTGATAACGTCACGGTTGAAGGCGCCACAGATGCTCCGCCCCTTGTTAACGTTAATCAAACACAAACCGACACGCACGCCATTAACCCATCACTCACCGCTTTTGTCTTCCTCTGTACTTGACACCATCCATCAGACGGGCAATTAGTGCGACTATTAACCTATACGGAGGCTTTGATGGATGCGCCGTCCAAGTCCCAAATCTGTTCGGGTGTCGCCGTGTCTCTCACTCGTGTCTGTAATCAAGTCCATCCATCACCGCGGCTGAACGCTTAACCTATTCTCAGCACATTGATTGATTTCATTATGTCTCTATACGGCTGTAGTGCTGTTTGTGTAGACGCCGTGATAAACAGTTGCCGAGTTGCGGTGAAAATGATCAGCTTCAGTGTTGGCTACACTGCAAAAAATAATAAAATATTGCTTGACTTGAGTGGTTTTCATTTCAATCTGAGCACATTCTAACTGTGAGAGAGACCAGAGAGAGATGAGGGAGAGAGACCAGAGAGAGACTTGAGAGGGAAGAGAAGGAAAATATTTAGAATATAATGATCAAACATCTGCAAAATAGACAAGGAAAAACAATCTGAGTCATTTTTTATTTTTTATTTATTGTCTTTATTCTGCTGAAGTCCAGAGATGTTTGTCAAAGTGCATTAACCATCTTACAGCTCACACGCCAGAACAGATCCAAAGTCAAACGCACAAACTGAGGCTGTTGCTTTTTGTGTGTGTGTAGAATTTTCAACATCTGCAGGTGTTTGTGTTGCCCACCTCAAAGCTCCAGAAGCACAAACAGCTGAACAAACTCTCCAGTACATTCTGCTGATTTGCATCTTCTTAAAGCTTATTGTGGACGACCCAAACCCAACCTGGCAACCCTCATGGCGTTCCATTAGCTGAGAGTGTCAGCAAATGGAATGATCAAATTTAAGTTATCTATTAAACCAGGAACGACCCACTGAGACTCCAGCATCTCGTTTTCAGGGATGTCCTGGCCCCTCAGAGAGGGGGACTATTGTCCATGTTTTTAGTGGTAGGGGAAACCGGAGCATCCAGAGGAAACCTACGCAGGCACGGAGAGAACATGCAAACTCTGCTCAGAAGGGCCCTGTTCCGACTGAGATTCGAGCCCAGGACCCCCTTGCTGAGAAGCTCAAGTGCTAACCACTCTGCCACCGTGCCGCCAAAAGTGATTTATAGGCGCCCTTTGTCTCACATCTCGCCGTCTCTCTAAATGTTCTGGCTGATCCAGAATTAGATCCAATTTACATCATCCACTCGGATCTGAACCTTCTTACAGCTCACACGCCAGAACAGATCCAAATTCAAACGCACAAACTGAGGCTGCCACTTTACCCGGAATGATCTACACCAGAAGGACGGACTGGTTCTCCAGAGGTCCCACTTAGGTTTTCCTTCCAACCAAACAGGAACACTTAACTTAAATTCTTTTACACCTGGAGTTTGCAGCTGAGTCCTTGCGTTGAGTTTTCTCTCGTAATTCTTCAGCTCGCTGTTTCTCCTCTTGAACGGCCTGGTCTTTCTGGTAGAACATTTGGACCAGCGTCCTAATGTTCTCACCGAGATCCCTGCGCACCTGTCTATAGTGTGTGCAATCTGGCTGATTTTCAAATACACTTGTATTGCTAACTGTTGCCTCTACCTCTGTCTCTGTCTCGCTCTCCACCTTGCCCTCTATCTCTATTTCTACCTCAGTCTCAATCCTTGTCTTGCTCTCTATCGCTGTCTCTAAATGTACCGTCTGATCCAGTGGTACCTGTGGCCCAGTCTCTGTCTGATTATCAGACGTCATGAGTCCATCACCCACCATCAGAGTCTCGAGCTGACGCTCTTTCTTTGGTAGAGGCTTCTGTCGTTGGGCCACCTTCCACTGCTCCACTCGCTCCCGCGCCAAACCCAATGAACGCCTCCTACTTGTTTCTACTGCCTCTAACTGATCTTTTACCGCAGTTACTTAATGCTGCAGAGCCAAGATCTTTTCAACTCTAAGCTTCAGTTGTGTCTCGGTCTCTTTCTGTATCACTACAGACTGAGAATCTTTCTCTGATAAATGCAGCTGCAGCTGTTGGTGGGCTTCCATCCACTGCTGCAATCGCTCCCTCTCCAAACCCAATGAACGCCTCCTACTGGTCTCAACTGCCTCTAACTGATCTTTGACCTCAGTTACTTCCTGCTGCAGAGCCAAGATCTGTTCATCTCTAAGCTTCAGTTGTGTCTCGGTCTCTTTCTGTATCACTACAGACTGAGAATCTTTCTCTGACAACTGCAGCTGCAGCTGGTGATGGGCTTCCATCCACTGCTGCAATCGCTCATGGACCAAACCCCATGAATGCCACCAATTGGTGTCAACCGCCTTTAACTGATATCTGACATCAGTGACTTCCCTCTGCAGTGCCCAGATCCATTCATCTCTAATCCTCAGTTGTGTCCTGGTCTCCATCTGTCTTGCTACAGACCGAGAATCTTTCTCTGATAACTGGAGTTGCAGCTGTTGATGGGTTTTCTTCCACTGCAGCGCTCGCGCCCTCGCCAAACCCAAAGAATGATTCCTACTGGTCTCTACTGCCTCTAACTGACCTTTGACCTCAGTCACTTCCTTCTGCAGAGCCAAGATCTGTTCATCTCTCAATTTCAGTTCTATCTCACTCTCGTTCTCTGTCTCGCTGTCCATCTGTATTACTACTGACGGACACGGTAGCTTTGACATCTGGAGCTGCAGCTGTTGATGGGCTTGCTCCCTCCTTGCCGATCGCTCGTTTGCCAATCCCAACGAATGCCTCAAATTGGTCTCAACTGCCTCTAACTGGTCTTTGACCTCAGTTACTTCCTGCTGCAGAGCCGAGATCTGTTGATCTCTAAGCTTCAGTTCTTCTTGAGCTCGGTTAAGCTGCTCTTGAAGACCCTCCCACTCGCTTTCTGTGTCGCTTTCTGTGTCGCTTTCTGTGTCGCTTTCTGTGTCGCTTTCTGTGTCGCTTTCTGTGTCGCTCTCCGTCTCGCTCTCCGTCTCGCTCTCCGTCTCACTCTCCGTCTCGCTCTCCGTCTCGCTCTCCGTCTCGCTCTCCGTCTCGCTCTCCGTCTCGCTCTCCGTCTCGATTTCTGTATCGCTCTCTCCCTCGATCACTCTCTCCCTCGCTCACTCTCTCGCTCACTCTCTTTCTCCCTCTCACTCTCTCCCTCCTGTTTTCTGTCTTGTTCTCCGTCTCTGAAGCCCATAGACCGAAAAAGCCCCAGTTACTTAAGAAAGATTTAAAGCGAGACAGATATCTCCCTGTCTCGTTCTCTGTCTCGTCCTCTGTATTGTCCCCCATCTCTATCACTACATAATCCAGTGATATCTGACAAATGTTCTTTATGCATGTTTGTGAATTACAAGCATGTACACACGGATTACCACTCATTCTGTTAGTTAAATACTAACAGGTTGATTAAAGATGAGAAGTAAGTGTTTGCCTTATCGGTGTACTTGTCATCTGAGCTGCGTTTGACTGTAGAAGCAGAGTTGGTGAGTCCATGTTTAGCCTCTTAGCATTAGCTTCTCTCAACTTGTCTCTGACGAGTTTGGCATAGGGCTGCACGATATGGACAAAAAGTCATATCTCGATATTTTTGTGCTGAATGGCAATATACGATATCTATCTCGATATTTTTCTTCCAGTGAATTAAAACCAATGAGCCATCTTCTTGGTCAAAACCACAGGTGACAAATGTCTCAAAGGCACTTTTATTAATGTTCAACTGCAGAACATGTGCATAAATTGCTTTCATTAAACAAAAAATATGTATTTTTATTTTAAATCAAAATAAATTAGAAATAAATATTCCTTTACTGTGTAACAGTATAGTGCAAAATGCGAACAGAAAAGATACTGACAAAAATAACAGGTCAGCCTGCTTTAGGAAAGCTTCAATCTATGAAGGGAGACTGAGGGATGCTTCCTTCTCCTAAATGCAATTCAAGTACTTTGTGCAAATGTAAACAATCAAACAATATAACACAATGTAAACACGTTCTTGGAACAATTATTTAGCAACCATTAAACTTAAAACATGAAAAACAAGAGGTATTGGCCAGTAGTGTACATCTTACAGATTTTGTGCCAGAAAAATGAGCCTGTCTACACTTTCAGGCTTCAGGGATGTCCTGTGGCAGGTTACAATGTTACCACTGCAACTAAAAACCCTTTCTGAAGGGGAGCTGGTGGCTGGCACACAAAGGTACTTGTTGGCCAGGCGGCTCAGTGCTGGAAAAGCAACCTCATGGTCCTTCCACCATTTGAGTGGGTCAGCATCACTCTCTATGCAGATTGACTGCAGATAGGTTGACAGTTCATGTTCTATTGTCTCTCTCGGTGTGAGTTTGGTGCCGGTGGCACTACCAGTGCCAGGACTCTCTTTAAAGAAGCTTGCGAGTGATTTATTTCTTTTTGGATTAGGTGGCACTGCCACAGCTGCTCCTTCTTGTTCTGTTGGGTCATTCAGCTCGCGCACACATTCATGCAGCAAAGACTGAGTCTCCAAAAGAACTCTGCGTTCCATTTTGTCACATGAGATGTATTTGGCCCTGAATCTTGGATCTAGAAGAGAGGCTATATCCAACAGGTCACTGGTAGTTGGGTCTGCATATTTGTTATTGAGGTAATCCACAACTTTGGTTGGATGGATTAACCTTTGGTTAGGTCTGACATACGACAGGGTCACGTAGTCCTCTCCTTAGAGAGCATCTGTAAAGTCCTGAAGAGGTTTTAGAGCTTTCCGAATGGCCTCCAGGACCTCTATGTCCTGCCAGGTAAGGACTAGAGGTCTAGTTTTCTTGTCAGCGGACAGGACTTTAGCCAGTGCTCTTTCTTGCTCCAGGACCCTCTCTATCATTACCAACCTCGATCTCCAGCGTGTGGCAGACTCTGTGATCAATTGGTGACCTGGCAGACCAAGTTGCAGTTGTACTTCAGCCAGTTCTCTTCTTTTTTTCCAGCTGTATGAAAAGCTGCTCACGATCCTCTTGCACAGACCAATAGCACGGGTGATACGGGCATCATTCATGGCATGTCCTGTATGACAAATTGAATAACACATTCTAAAATCACTTTAATTTATTTGAGACACAGAGCTCCCTCAAATACAAATTGAAAGCTATTTACATTAAATAGGAGTGTAATGTTTATATGTGCATGACACTGTGTAAACTACAAACGGTGTGTTAAACTAAACTAAATTAGTAAAACAAGTTCAAGTGTTGAATTTGTGCAATCTAAAACAGGATCTGAAATTTAGACCAGGCATTCAGATACATCTTCACCATTTTAAGTTGGATTTATTTTCACCACCATACTTAAAATGTATTAGACTGAACTTAGATTAATTTGAACCTGATTCAAAAAAAGGAAAACAAAAAAGTCAGAACACAGGCGTTGTTGCATGAATTTGCCAGTTTTGGGATCACCCTACATGAATGAATAATTCAGTATTGCACTTACCAATGGCCAGATGAAGTCTGTGACCAAAGCACTGCATCCTTAGCCACTTTTTGAGTTGCACCGCTTTAACAACATTTGCACCGTTGTCAGTAGTTACGGCCACCAGTTTTTCCGGGTTGAGATTCTGAGGAGCACAGGAACTGGCCTCCTGCTGGGACTCTGAGGAGCACAGGGACCGGCCTCCTGCTGAGATTCTGAGGAGCACAGGGACCGGCCTCCTGCTGGGATTCTGAGGAGCACAGGGACCGGCCTCCTGCTGGGACTCTGAGGAGCACAGGGACCGGCCTCCTGCTGGGACTCTGAGGAGCACAGGGACTGGCCTCCTGCTGGTTCCAGAGCATAGACTGTATATATTAACGTAGTCACGCCTATCTCCAGCGTTCTAACTAATGGGCCAAAAATTGGGCTTCATGGAGTGATTCAAAATGGCCGCGGGGGCTGGAAAATGTGAAAAAACGCATCTGCACATGTGTCAGCTGCACGAGCCCCATACATTTAAACGAGAGGCTTCAAAAATTCACAGCAAGTAAACTAGAGTGGACCAAAAACATTCACCCCCCTCAGCATTGACACACATGTGGAGCGGAGCTTTGGGCCAAGAGCCAACTTTTGGACCATCCTGAAAAGACGTTTTCCAGAGGTCAGAAGATGCTATATGTTAGCATTGGCTAATTCTTATTCCGGGTCCACCCCCATCGGCCCGGGGTGGTATTGCAGCATGTCAGCGCACGTCATTTTGGCCAGTTTGTACTTCTCCCCACTCCTTTGCGTAAATGAAATGAGAGAATTCTTCATTATTTTATTCATGCAATGTTCTTATCTATGTTCAATTTAACAATAATATTTATTTATTTATTTTAGTGCTTTTGTTTTACAGTTATACATTTGTCTTTGAGTCTCTTGTCTTTGGTTTTGTTTCGTAACTCGCAATATACAAAAGAATAGAGATTCACACGGTTGGAATAGTCTTTCTGAAAACGTGAGACAGGCTTCTTCTCTGACAATGTACAGATCCAGGTTTAAAACAGGTCTTTTTAACCGTGTTTTTAATGCGCTGCGATTGATGATTTTAACGCCTTGTGGGATTGCTTCTTGTTTTGTTTAGCCCTTTGAGTTGTGTATGAACTGTGCCATACATATAAACTTGCCACAACCCCACACACACCCTGTTTCAAGCTGATCCCTTTTATACCAATCACACAGTACACTTTAGTACAAGAAAATGTTGTCTCGGCTCAGGTCCATCCATCCATCCATTTTCTTCCGCTTTATCCGTTGCCGGGTCGCGGGGGCAGCAGTCTAAGCAGAGACGCCCAGACTTCCCTATCCACACACACCTCCTCAAGCTCGTCCGGGGGGACCCCTAGGCGTTCCCAGGCCAGCTGAGAGACATAGTCTCTCCAGCGTGTCCTGGGTCTTCCCCGGGGCCTCCTCCCGGTGGGACGTGCCCGGAACACCTCCCCAGGAAGGCGTCCAGGAGGCATCCTGAACAGATGCCCGAGCCACCTCAACTGGTTCCTCTCGACGTGGAGAAGCAGCGGCTCTACTCCGAGCTCCTCCCGTGTGACCGAGCTCCTCACCCTATCTCTAAGGGAGCGCCCAGCCACTCTGCGGAGGAAGCTCATTTCGACCGCTTGTATCCGCGATCTCGTTCTTTCGGTCATTACCCACAGCTCATGACCATAGGTGAGGGAGGGAACGAAGATTGACCGGTAAATTGAGAGCTTTGCCTTTCGGCTCAGCTCCCTCTTTACCACAACGGTCCGATACAGAGACCGCATCACTGCGCACGCTGCACCGATCCGCCTGTCAATCTCACGCTCCATCCTCCCCTCACTCGTGAACAAGACCCCGAGATACTTGAACTCCTCCACTTGAGGAAGGACCTCTCCACCCACCTGGAGAGGGCAAGGCACCTTTTTCCGGTCAAGCACCATGGCCTCGGATTTGGAGGTGCTGATTCTCATCCCAGCCGCTTCACACTCGGCTGCAAACCGTCCCAGTGCATGTTGCAGGTCCTGGTTCGTTGGAGCCAGCAGGACGACATCATCCGCAAAAAGTAGAGATGAAATCCTGTGGTTCCCGAACCGGACCCCCTCCGGCCCCTGGCTGCGCCTAGAGATTCTGTCCATAAATACAGTGAACAGAACCGGTGACAAAGGGCAGCCTTGGCGGAGGCCAACATGCACCGGGAACAGGTCTGACTTACTGCCAGCAATGCGAACACAGCTCTGGCTCCGGTCATACAGGGACCGAACAGCCCTCAGCAGAGGACCCCGGACCCCGTACTCCCGGAGGACCCCCCAAAGGACACCCCGGGGAACGCGGTCGAACGCCTTCTCCAAATCCACAAAGCACATGTGGACAGGTTGGGCGAACTCCCATGAACCCTCGAGTATCCGATGGAGAGTATAGAGCTGGTCCAGTGTTCCGCGACCGGGACGAAAACCACACTGCTCCTCCTGAATCCGAGATTCGACCATCGGACGAAGCCTCCTCTCCAGTACCTTGGAGTAGACCTTACCGGGGAGGCTGAGGAGTGTGATCCCACGATAATTGGAACACACCCTCCGGTCCCCCTTCTTGTAGAGAGGGACCACCACCCCGGTCTGCCACTCCATTGGCACCGCCCCCGATCGCCACGCGATGTTGCAGAGACGTGTCAGCCAAGACAGTCCTACAACATCCAGAGACTTTAGATAGTCAGGACGGATCTCATCCACTCCCGGCGCCTTGCCA